TTTCTTTTAATCATTATTATATCTTTATTGAAGGGGGAGGGGGCATTTATTTGAAACGGTACAATTTAATTGTTTCCATATTTTCCCCAGTATCGTCACTAATCATATATTGATTTTAATTTAAAACATGTTGTAATTTTGTTGCGTCTCGAGCCTTCCCGTTTTGCTGTATTTGCTCATTGTTGATCAATTACACTATATCATTCTCTCTATAACCACGCATGAGTACAGACGTTATAACAAAGCGGTGTCTGGAGTCTTGCAATCGTTTGGTGACACGTAGAGCTCACTCTTCCGAGCACCTGAGCTTCCCAGAATCCCTGTGAAGAAATGTTCTGTTCTGGAACCGATTATATATATACATTGGCTTATGTGTGGCATCTCGTCGTTATGAAAGATTGCGTAAGTCGACAAACAAATAAACAAAGAGCGTTGAAAACTTTCATTTTCTAGCTCTGAAAAAAATTTCCGGTTCTAGTTGACGATGTTATCAAATATAGAAAGGTGGATTAAACACCCGGCATGAAAATTATGACTTCGGTAATTCTAGGAGAACGCCCTAAGAAAATAACCAAGCGACGGAAATCGATAAAAAAGAAAAGTAAGTTTTTAAACATTTCTTTATTTCCATTTTATCATTACAAGGTAATGTATTTTTGCGGGAAGTTTTCCGATAGTCATTCAGGTGCAACGAACCTGAAAGTCAACACCATCCTTGTCGATTATAGATTATATTTACATCGAGATGAAAGTAAGATTTAAAAAAAATATATTCTTCGATTGCATTTACCTTTGGATTTTAATAGATGATATTAAAACCAGTAAATTAAAAGGAAAAAAATCGTTACCTTAACACGTGACACAAAGTTACAGCGAGCAGGATAACGACAAACGGTGGAGTCATTGGCATAAATATGTAGTAAGTTGACCATTCCAACAACTCTTTAATACTTTGTTTGGCTGATTATAGTTGTACACTTTTAAGTAATTGTAAAGGCACGCACGAGACCATGTCTTATAAAAATCGCGTAGGATTTTTTATATCAAAATAAATTTATTGTTGTATTGGGTTTTCTACTATTTTATAAACTACAAACTACATTTGTATTTCATTATGGGCGGATGTATTTTTGTAAAGATAGGGCTATAGAGTTCCGATGGCACGACCCCACCCCACCCACTTCCCACGGTTTCTTATTGATTTATTTTTCTAATAGGCAATATCTTATCTTGAGCATGATTTGAAGACAAAAACACCAGATTGCAGTATCTTTGTCAGATTCTAGTATGAATGTTTAACTATGCCTCAAATGAAATTAAACTTCTTTGAAACTTTTCGGAAAGTTATGGTATAGAATTTTCAAAAATTGATTCAGGAAAACGAATTAGTAATTTAATTACTGGTTCATCTTTACAATCAAAGTTTGTTCGTGTAAGAAATCTAAGTAAATATTCAAGTGTTTGTCAGATATTATTGTAATGCATACTGGTTTCATTTATAAGAAGGAGGGCGTATACCCTTACCCCCTCCCCTTTGAAACCACCACTGACCCTGATATTTTAAGCATATAAGAGGACCTGGCCTTCTTTCTGTTCTATACACCGAGAACCAACTGATGATGCTTTTTGTTTGGATTTCCCCCTTTTTTGGATGTACAAGATAAAGCTATCTGTATGGATATTCGCATTGTAACATGTGTTTAGGACTATTCTGGAAATAAACTACAATATCAATTTTATACATTTCCGTCGTAATTTACATTTGAGAGACTAAATTATACCATCTGTACGAAGGTTAATCACCATGTGAACTGGTAACAACTGTTGCAGTTTAACATTGTATAGTGCTTAATAGCTGGTTAAATTTGTCTGCAGCCAGTCACACTACAACTACGAATCATGGACTCAAAAACTCATCCACAACAGAAAAACAATAGTCAGAAGTTATTATAAGCTGACTTTATTTTCACGGCACTAGACATGTCACATCTGTATGTAAAGGAATAAATTAATAGCCCACGAATCTTGTTTAAAACCGGTCTCTTACCAGTGATTGAAAATTTAAAAAAGAAAAAAAAAAACATCCTTTTTTGTTAATCACTCTCTAATTTGAAACCAGTTATGAATCTATTACTCTAACTCACAGGTCCAACTGTAAATTCAAACGAGGCTCTCTCTAGCTTCATCCATCTATTATTTCCCATGTAAGTACAAAATGCATCTTACCTATATCTATCTTTACTTATCTATCGTATTTATATGATACATTCTACCACTCATAGTTCATGGTGACATTGTGTAAACCATTTATTATATTGTACAGAGAGAGAGAGAGAGAGAGAGAGAGAGGGAGGGAGGGAGAATTTCATTAATTAAGCAATAGTGACATATTTTTGTTTGTTTATATGTTGTTTAACGTCCCTTTCGAGAATTCTTCACATATTGAGACGCCCCCACTTGCCGGTGGAGGGGTGCAAATTTAGACCTGTACTCGACACTTAGGGCCTTTGAGCAGTGAGGGGTCTTTTTCGTGCCAGCACAAACTGCGACACGTACGGGACCTCGGTTTATACGGTCTCATCCGAAGGACCGATCTCCACATCGCACAGTGGATTTGAACCCGCGACGTAAGGGTTAGCTCATTACGGCGCGACTCTAGATCAAACGCTCTAACCACTACGCCACTCGCGGGCGACATAATTTTAATTGTTTGGGTTTTTTTTTAAATTGTTAAATATTGTTACTTCCATTATGTACCAGATTATATATCGTTAGAAAAGTATTGATATTTGATTTGATTTGAACACATTTTATTATGTAATAAAACATAAATGGATTGGGCAGCAGATTTTTCCTTTATAAGCCCTCTCCAAAATTCAGTTTTGATCTTAGGGCTGATGAGTTCCTTAAATCGATGTTTGAGGCCTGACTTTCACCTGAAATTTAAGGAAACGTAAATATTTAATTAGAGAAAAAAAAATCAATATATTTGCTTTTAATCCATCTTTCCTTTTGTTGTGCATATAATACGGGAAGTTGCCTTTTATAAAATGTCTATTCTCTTCATTGTCCTTCCATATACATAATTTATTTAGATTTTATCAGTAGGGAAGCTAATAGCTAACCTACGCCATTTTCCCTTTTTGTGGCATATTTCCGTGTTTTCTGTTTATGTCTGATAATATTTTAGTTTTTGGTTGACGTGAAATTGTAAGATTGTGCTTTACAGTTTGAAGAATTGGTGGAATGGTATAGTACTTTATTATTTCTTTGGTATATTTTGATTGTTATATTAATTTTATGAAGTTGTCTGCTGATGGTCAAGGTTAATTTTTAGAATATACATGTATAATGCATCATGGAAGTTTTCAGTTGTCAAAACCTTAGGGAAACTGTGAACTGAGCATGAATTTGCCAGGAGATTCATTGTACCCATCTTCTCTGAAAGTGTATCTAAAATGTTCATGTTCGTAAGAAAATGTCGAAAAACAATAGGAAAGCAGTGAATTTTGGAAGGAAGAGTGTTGTTATGGCCTTGGTGAACTATCTGAGAAAATTACAGCTCTGTCCAAAGAGGCAACAACACAATCTTTGCATTTACTGCTGGGTCACACACCAATAGCTTGCTATCGGTGTCTGCACGCTTGTCAAAATGACTGACGTTAAACATTGCACCAAACAGACCATCTTTCATATAGTTTGCATACGAATAATATTATATCGTCTTGCACCATATATAGTTTGTTATCTTTTGATAAATTCATTTGATTTTCTAATATTATAACTATTAGGGACCTTGCACCTTGATACAAGCGTTTATCATTGAGGTCGATAGCAATATCTGCTCTCTGTCATAACGTGTCCTTAACAGTACTATCTTAGCCTTCCATTGAATCGCAATATTAAAATAGATGATAACCTAATAAGATAATAGCTCTACTGATAGGGACTTTAGATACAAACTTACAAGAAAATCTGCAAGGTCGTGTGGTCACCCTTTCTACTTTGCAGTTGTTTTGCTTGAATTTTTCAATAGTTTTGGAAGTTTTTTTTTCTAACAGGTATGTTATATGACATTTCTTGCTATTTATTTTGAGCATGAAATTCGTTCTTCCGGTCAATCCATTCAGTCACGTGGGACCAATGATTGACATTTGGAGAAAATTTAAAATTACTCAAAAAAATAGACTTTCTTTATATTTTGATCATGTCTGAATTCATGAAATAGAAAAAAATTTTCACGTGCCTCAAAGAAATAAAATGCATGTGTACTTAAGTTCGATTATTCAGTCTAAATAATTTTAATAAAATTCCCTATTTAACCGAAATCCTTTGAAGACGATCATTTTATTGCATTTACTCTAAAATTCTTTAACTATGCCTAAAATATTGGTAAATTAAATTACTTAAATAGAATATATCCACATAATCAAATAGTTCTCTCTTAGCCATGATGATATTAATGTAAGTTCGATGCTAAGTGAAATAAGTGACCCACAATTAGGCTGTGTTTATATGTGCTGTAACATGCGAGTGTTGTAAATAGTTCCCGTGGATAAGAATCATATTCGATTATTTTACGCTGAAAAGTAAGAGGGGTTGTCATCTGTTAACATAATGGTTCATGTTTATTTAAAAAACAATTTGATACCCAATAATGCATGTTTTAATACAAGGAAAAACTCATTTAAAACGCATATTTCCGGAAAGTGTGGAAAAAAGTTGAAAATAAAAGCTTGAATTTCACGTCCTGAAATAGAGTGTTTCCAATGAGGATATTCGACGAAATTCAATGAGGCTAAGTTTTCAGAAAAAGGGCACATATATCCAATTATTTAAGCGGTTCTTATTTCAGTTTTTTTATGTTGTATTGATTTTTTTTTTCATGTTTTGATATGATATTCTCATTAAACTTTACAAATGTCTCTTTTAATAAATAGGGGACATTGAAAAAAATGCTTATAACCGGATGTGGTGTTATAATATTTTTACTGTTAAAGATGAGGACGATCTTCCAAAAATTCTTCCACCAAAACGACGACGGAATTCAAAGAACAATGCTGCAATGAAGAAAAAGTCTGCGGTCGTCCCCGATGATATGGAAAGATTAATTCAGGAATTTCCCCGACACAATTGGTTGGAAAACAAGTACAAATCAGACGAGACACCCCGGAATCATCCTGAAGAGATTCAAACTACTGAAGAACTTTATGAATATTCATTAGATGAAGATAAAATGGATACTACTGATCTAGGAGAAGAAAACCAATCTACAACAGAGACAGTTAACCCTGTGATAAACGAACACGATGCAAGATCCAACCAACAAAATGCCTTCAGCCTTGAGGCCACGGAGACGTCAGAAAGCAATCCCAGTGACGAGCAGGAGGACATACCGGACGAAGACAGGTAAGTAAACGTCGAACATCCAGGTATTTGAAATACGATCTTCTTTTTATGTCAAGATATCACATTATGTCAAGACATCACATACTCCTTTATGACATGCCATTCAAATTTCATTCATTTTTTTGTTGTTTCTTCTTCCAAAGACCTGTTTTGAATAAATGGTGCAAATTCTTTATCCTTCTGAATTAAGATAAACCCTTTCGGTTATTACAATTCATTCATTAGACAGATATTTCTCTTGAAATTTTGCACAACTGCTTTATTAATTATATGATAAAAAGATACAATATAATTTATGTGAACATATGTATTTACTGTCATCCAGGTAAAAGTAACATGCTTAGAAATGTATGTATACAAAACAGTTTTTCACACCCTTGTATATTTACATATTAAGCTACTAGAATGACTCATGATATTGGTATACAAATAAGAGAGAGAGAGATTAATCTGTAGGTTATACATTATCAACTGAATAACTTTTTTCAGCCACCTTCATTATCAAACATTTATTAATATTTCAATATGTTTCACAGTCTCTCATCCTTCATTAATGCTTAACAAGTTTCTATATGATCACTTTTATTCTTTTTTACAACTTCAGCTGAAAAAAGAAATTATCATGGAAAATGAAACATAATTTTGAGGTGTAAATATTCACTTTGATGTTCATATTCTTGACGTTTGCTGCATGAGTTTATACGACATGTAACAGCTAGTACATGTTGTTATATAACTCTGATACAGGATACCATATTTGGGGCCCTGTTGCAGGATGTGAAGTTTTTGTTTGTTGTTTGCTCAGGCTTCAAATCGTCACGGACTTGGACAAGGATGGTCAAGATAACGAAGTCATGATTCCTTGTACAGTACCTTCAACGATGACGGAAGTTACATCCGAAAGTCCTCACCTAAATCAGGGTAATTGACGTAATATGAAATAGTTTATTAAAGCCCACGATACTGTTATTGTAACTAATCCCTATATTGCTTTTTCATCATTCCTAATTAATCATTTTTGTTTATGTCTAGTAGACCAAAACTCCACTGTGGATACCGAGGCAGATGACCAGGGTAAAATTACAGAGGAACCTGTTGAACCAGTAGTGTCCACTGCACAGGAGGAGATAACAGAGCATCCTCGAGCTACCAACAGTACACTGCCTCCTGTACCACATCTAATTAAAGCGCCTGACAGTAATCAAGATGATTTGCATTCAAGCAATATGCTAGCTTCACCAAACCCCGAAAGTTTTGAAAATGTCACTATAAATCAGCCAATAGCTGAACAAGTTTGCACTTCCTCTATTTCTTACGGCAGTGCTAGTGTTCCATTAACAGAATCTTGTTCTACACCAACTATCGTTGATTCAGTTTTATTGAATAAAGACTGCATTGCCTCTACAATGCCTTCAGAAGGACAGAACGTGAACACAAGAAAAAGAAGATACAATGGTGAAGAGAGTCATGAAAGAGACCGATCATATGCTGATATGCCCACGTCTGATCACATTAGTGAGAAAAATCCAAAGCTGTCTTCTAAAGTGATTGATATCAATAACTGGAAAGAAATTATAACAGCAAAGGTAAAAAACGACATTAATAATCAGTTGCAAAAGACATTAACAGAATTTCGGGAATTAGACCAGATGGCCACAGAAAAGGCACGTGAGGCCGAATCTCTAAGACAATTGCGTGAGCAAAAACTAAGAGATCTTCAAAGTATTCAAAAGAACAATTCAGAGGCCGAAATTAAAAGGATTTTAAATGAAAGACTGAGTATGTTGGAAAGACAACCCGAGATGAAATCTGAAATAAACAGTCCTCCACCTGCACATCAACGTCCAAAACAAAACATCAGGGAACTTCTGGATAAAATGGACCGTTCTCATTCACAGACACCCATCGACTGTTCTACGTTTAGTGCATTTAGTGCTCGTAAGACTCCATTACACTCTCCCAACGCCAGCATGAGCGGAAAACCTCCCACTAGTGCTCACACATATACACATGTGCCATCCGTTAGAAATGATGACCCAAATTCTGAAACAGGAATAATTCAAGGAAATGTCCCTCCAGCTCATGAAACTGAGCAAAGCGGTGCCATACGAGCGTCCTCAGCGCCGGTTATTTGTAACAGGACCAGCTTAGACAAGCAATCCACAGTCCCAGATATCAGAGTGTCAGTATCAAACAGAGTGAACACTGTTATATCAAATTCTAGACTGTGTAACGGTTCAAAACCGGGAGTAAATACACCCAGACCCAGTGAGGCTTATATTGACCTCTCCCAGAGCAGTAAAGACTCTGAAAGGGAAATTCAAAGGGAGCTTAGTAGAGCTTTGGCTGTGAAACGACAAAAGCAAGATTCAAGTGCAAAGCATGATGTGTATAAAAGCAAAGAGATTACGGTAAATAGGTTACATCATCAAAATGGTGAACCGTTTGGAACAAGACAAACTATACAACCATCAAATCCGCAGCTAATGCTTAGTGCAAAGTCAAAAGAAATCAGAGGATATCCTCAAAATACTTACACGCAGCAACTTGTGCGACCTGTTTCTTATGCAACCATTACTAATTCTCAAAATTTAAATACAGAAAAAACGGTTTCAGGTGCATATCGACAGAATATTCCAGGAATGATGCGCCCACACGCTGTCCGATTGCTCGGGGCTACTGCAGTAGGAAATGTACAGCAAACATTAGACGGAAGACAAGCTTTTACTTCTTATGCTTCAACCATTCCTCTGAATACATTCCCAAACACGGGGTCTATCCGACAGGGCACACCAATTAGACAAGTGCAAGGTACAGAAAGATAAAAACTTTTATTACCTTGTAGAAAAGTTCAATAGATTGCAATTGTCACATTTAAAATCTCATATATGTGTATACTTCACAGGCATCGTCAGTCCAACACAGCCCCATGTTCGTCCCCCTCTGTCCAGTGGTGCTGCACCTTTGGAAAACGGCCAGCTTTTACGCCATATTCCTATTACAGCTGCACGAACCATAGATGATATACAGAAAGCTCCATATGTACAGGTAGTTTATCTGTCCAAAACGTAGAATAGATTTATCAACTTTAAATTCAATGGGTCAAAGCTTTGTTCTTTCGTAAAAAAAGAAAAAATGAACATTTTTGTATACGAAGTCGTTGAATTTGTTTTGTTTGTACTTGTATTTTATGGGAGATTTATTATTTTGTTGTTCACTATTTTATGGTTATTTAAAGGCATGGATTAAACGATTCATTTTACAATTTGTAATCTGCATAAATACCTCCATGCTTTTATTTTGCTGCCAGTCGATGCATCAGTTAGAGGTTGGATCAGGTCGTAGAAATCCACACTTAATGTCATGTTGGCCTACTTCTGACTTCACGTTTCTCTCACATTGTAAGCTCATTGACTTCCTATAGTAATGGAATCTTTTAAATACTTTTTCTTCGATATATTAGACAAAATAGATGGAACATTTAACATACCTCAGAGACCCCTACGAATGTCAGTCTTTCTTTTGATGTTGAAAGATGTTTCTAATTTCTTTTTTTTGCATGCATTTTGGCGAATTTTATTTTATGATTTTGTATCGTGTCTGTTACTACTTTATCGTAAGAAGAATATGCATCGACATAAGACCTTCATTAATATGTATATAATAAAATATATTTTGATTAATATTAAAATGGAAAGGTTTTTTTGTATTGTTCATGTTCTTTGTTTTGTTTGTTCTTTTCTTTCTCTCTCTTTCTTTTGGTATTTTGCTTTTTTTTTTAAAATAAAATGCATGGATTGTATTTTAGTACCTATACGACGTGATTTGAGCATGAATTGGAGCAAAGTATTAAACATACTATACCAACATGCAGTATATAACCAATTTTTAAACAAGAAATATAGCAATTGAATTGATAAATAGAATAAGTAAAGAGGTATGTTTCTCGATTTTGAATTAATAATCCTTTGAATAGTCTATTCCCAAATTTGCAGAATTTTATCCTAGAAATGTTGCAGTTAAAACTAATCTTAATTTGCTTGCAATGTATGTAAACTCGTTAAGATGATAGTTTAAAGTTGACATTAGAATTGCACGAGAAAAATAATATGGAATCGTAAGAAATTATATAAGTGCTATTAAAACCAGATCAAGCATACAATAACAGTAACATTAATATTAACATAAGCAATATTAAATATCTGTATAACTTGAAAGAAAATTTTATCAAATGCAAAATAATGCCCTCTTAAAAATCATACGCTGGATGATCCACCGTGCCCATCTGTGCACATTTTTAATTTTATACCCTCATGAAGTTTAAAAGTAATTTTGGTGAATATTATTAAACCAATTTAAAGAGGTTGGATCCTGATATCATAAGTCTTAAGAAATTTTTGTCAAGTATATTTTATTATCTACGCATATAGCTTACTTAAAAATCTAAACATAAAATGGGGGTCAATACGATTCTTTTGGCGCTACGGTACATTTAATATGATCTTTCTGCACTGAAATTGTGTCTTAAACATAAATCACCTCTTCGAAGTTTTTCCTCCAATATTTTTTATCAAAATAAATCATGGGACTAAATATACTTTTATTTTATCTTAAAAAGACGCATGAAAATTGTGAAAAAGAAAAAAATTTCAAATAACTTTGCATAATCAATTATTTGAACTTTCTGCACTCACAAACTGTCATTTTTCATTTGGCATTAAAAATATAACAACCAAGAAAATTATTTTAAGGTCTTTGACTTTTGCTGAATTGAAGCAGAATGATCAAAGTTTTCTTATATTTTCAGAAAAGAAAATCAGAAGTGGGGGTCTATGATGTAGGTTTTTAGATATTACAAAAAAAAAGGTTAATTTTAAGTTAAAATTGGCTCTATATTTTCCTTGACTTTCAGACTATATTTTCACAATATGATGATAGAATTCATAAAAGTTAATTTAATAAATATTTCAGGGCCAGCATAAAACATTTCACTGCAAACAAATAACTCTGTGTAGCCTACATGGAAAAGTAGGAATCCAAACTTAACAGTAATGTTAACACTTCGAAAGAGAAAAGTTGATCATTTTCTTCTTAAAAAAAAAACCTTCCACCACAAAATATTGTTCCTCACTGAATGCTTTTTGTATGGAATTTAATCGTGGGTTTTTATTTGAATATAAATCTTTTTGCATTGTAGAATCCAAATTTAATGTAAGAACTTAAATATGATGCAGAATTTTTGAAATAACGGTCCAGACATAAATCTGCTCAAAAGCTCAGGATCAAACCTCCTTAAGCAAAACATTCTAAAAATAAATTTGACATCCAGTTTAGTATCATGTTATAAATTTTGAATTACATTCTAAATTTTGTATTTTCTCCCACTGAATAAATTCAAAATGTATAACATGACATAATGGTTGTCTTATATTCTCTTTAGAGAAGTCGACAGGCTTTCGCCTCTTCGCAAACCTTCATGTTTTGATTCTGGAAAACTTGTAAAATTCGAACCGGTGACGGCCTACACTTCAACTGACATTTCGTCTAAAATATGTTCGAATGTACGGTAACAGACGTGTTATATTAACAATTTCAACATAAATACACACAACTGTCACAAGAAAACCAACCTTTACATATTGTTAATCCATTTTCACATGTTCTCCATCCCGGATTTAAATTATGTGCAAGTAACTCTTGAAGGATTAAAAAAATCTCTAATTTGGATAAAACTGGAAACTATTTTTACCGAATAATAATGAAACAAGAGAAATTGTCTATTCTGTTCAAACTAACGAGACAGTATTTTCTCGAGTTCCGTTCAAATTTATTTGATCTTTGTTTTAAACTTCTTTTTCATTTCTCGGGAAAGGTAGAGTTAATATCGTTTAAGAATAAAAGAAAAGATTTTTAGTATTGACCGAGAGGAAGTAATGAAGTATTTTTAAGCTCAAATTACATTTTAATTGTATTAAAATAGTAAAAATAAGTAAAAGTAACAATATTAATTTTGAATAACATGCTAAATCAAAAGTGAATTGTCAAAAACTTTTTTGAACATCAAAAAACGACTTCGCCAATTTTTCCAAATTATCCGACTTACAATCTTCAATTTTTTCTAATAAGCTGTGGTAGATAAACATTAGTTTAAATCCGGGATGGAGAACTTGTGAAAATGGATTAATAATATGTAAAGGTTGGTTTTCTTGTGACAGTTGTGTGTATTTATGTTGAAATTATCAATATAACACGTCTGTTACCGTACATTCGAACATATTTTAGACGAAATGTCAGTTGAAGTGTAGGTCGTCACCGGTTCGAATTTTACACGTTTTCCAGAATCAAAACATGAAGGCTTGCGAAGAGAAGTGGATGTAGGCGAAAGCCTGTCCACTTCTCTAAAGAGAATTGGTTGTCTTATAGAGTCTTATAGCATAACACAAGTTTCCAACTCAAATTATCTGCCTTTTTAGAATAGAATATGAAATATGTTACTTTCCGTATTATTTATCTTGCCACGGTTTTAATTAGATATTTCTAAAAAAAAAAATTAAATGCATAGGAAATTTGTGTTCCTTGAATGCTAAAAATGTATGTTTAAGTCTACAATAATAAACATATAACCTAACAAAACAAAAAGATAAATACATGTACATAAAATTGTTTGAATGTCGATTTAATAAAGAATAGATCATATGCTGTACAAGTGTGAAATACTTCAATACTGTAAAACTTAACAATTTTTGTAATATATCGTCTTTTATACGTGATAATATATTATTTCTTCACAAAATGCAACATATTTCAAGATGTATTACGAAAAAAAGTAAATTGTAACTATTGAAATTTAGAGTAAAGATAATATGAATACAAGAATAGTCTATTATATTTTGGTCACTGGAAGGAAAGAAAATAATGAGGCTGCATTTTTCAATTTACATATCTTTCACTATTCCTAAACCAAAGAGTGATTTACAGCTACCGAAGTGCATGTTATATTCATTTTTTTATGTAATATGATATTGCTGGTTAAAATAAATTTAAAAATTATGCAAATAAATATAATACAAAATTAGTAATTCAGATGAACGGTGAATCATATGTAGAGAGTACTTCATCAGGCCTCAAAGCTGTAATCTTAATGTTTGCAATTCAGGAAAATAATTATTAAAAATGTAAATATACACCTACCGTTCTTCGTATCATTTTTTTCTCTTTATATTTGCAACTTGATCGATGAACGCACAGAAAAACCATGAACCTTATTACCTATCCATTTTTTCTTCAATTAAACATTGTAGGCTAGGTTAACATTACTTTGAAACAAATGAAATCTAAACAATGTTTACAGTTTATTTTATTATATTAAGAACATCTTGAGCTTTAATAACCCTTCACTCCTTGAAATTATAAGGATGCGACATCATGCGTTATTTTTTAATTTGATTTTTTTTAAATTTTCAAACGAAGGGTCAAAGTTTCCTTTAAAAAAAAGCACGAAAAATATATATCAGTATTGCAGAATACCTTACTATTAAAATGTTTCCCTTTATTTATTCGGAAATAAAATGTTTTGGATGGATACATAAGTGGAAAATATATATATTTAAGATTTTCTTGTCCTCCAGAATAAGTATTTAAGTTTAAGCACCAAATTTGTTGGGTTTTTTCTCATTTTTGGAAGTATTGCCGGAATATTGAAAATGTTGTATTTTCTTTAATGAAATTATTAAGATAGTAATGAAATATCAAACGATATTGTACTTCAGATGTTCCACCTCTCCATTTTTCAGGAAGTCAGTAATTATCAAATGTCCAATATTAATTTTTTCCCCAGTCTGCTTGTATTGTTAATTGCACTAAATATGATTTTACAAATTAGAGAAAAGTTCCAATGCTTTGTCTGGCACACAAGACCTTGCAAAATGCTTAAGCAAACGTGTCTGTTAAGTTCTTGGTGCACGAATATATACATATAGTTTTGTCATCTATCCTACGAAAGTGTTCATATAGCACATAAATAATTATATGTACCATATATCCAATCAAATGAACCTACTTCTTCTAGAAAACCTTTCCAAATTTCAAAAATCTTAAAAACGCAAGCTTAAATATTTCTTAATTTCCGTAAATATTCTTAGTCCACAACTACTCCATTAAAAAATTAAATCTATACGCCTGGAATAATTATTAAAAACAAGTACTACACACAAACACACAGAGAGAGAGAGAGAGAGAGAGAGAGACTTACCGTGTTAATTACCGCTGTTTACTTATATCTTCAATCTGTTAACACTTGATGGATTTCTTAACATTGACCGAAAGAGTTTCTCCTTTCAACAGATTATAACCTTCAGTTTAAAAAGAACGATCATAATATTTCCATAACAACTCATTACTTTCCATTTAAATGGACCTCCGAGGATGATTGTAATTAAGGTCAGACGATACGTTCCTCAAATATCTGTTTTGTATGTCATCATAAAATATGAAAAATATTCAAAATTATAATTACCTTGTGTTTTCTAAACTGTTTTCTAGTTGTCTTTAAAAAAATCAACATACTAAAAACTTTAATATTGGCAAATTAAGTTATTTTCAAAAGGATAATATAGGAAAAACCATCCTCTGGTATCTTGCACAAATGCCTGGTAAGGTACCTCAATTTTTTGTGAGTAAACATGTTAAAGTAGCAGTACTTCAATGACAAAATCTTGGGGAAAAAAATATATTATTGAGGAACGTATCGTCTGTCCTTAAGGACAGAGCTATACGTTACAGCTCATAATGATCTGTTAAACTTAACCCCGTAACTCTCTGTTAAAGGAATTGGTTTACTTTCTAATGATAATTTCAAATCATCCCTGCTTAATTTACCATTTCTTTCAGGTTTAGCAAAGATTGTTAATGCAAATATTACGAGATCTTGTGATTTCTTTTTGTGTGTGATGCATTGTCCATAATGAATGTTTTTAAGAGAAATATATAATTTTTCCATGTCGAAGAAAATGAGTGTTTTATAAAAGTAGCCATTTAATAGAAAGTTTTCGAAGCTGTTTTTTTAAATTAAAAAAATTAGGATTTGATAATGAATGAATATATGTATTGCGAGTCTTTTGACCTTATAAAGAAATACAGAAAATTTAGCTTATCATAAAATAGCTTTTTCTGTTCGATTTGCCAAATAAGAATTAAAGGAGAAGCAAAATCATATACAGACCAGCATATAATTTCCTCTTTCTCGAATGAAATGGCATTAAAACAAATTCAGCATTTACATGCTATCTCTCTTTTATCTAATAACATTTACAACATTTCTTTTTTGAACAGCAGTTTTTTTCACACAAATAACAAAAAAGTTCTATTTATTTTCTACTTTCCTTCATCCTGCTGTATCAACTGATCCTATAACCTTTCATTTTGTGTTATGGCCCTTGTGTTAAGCAAAACATTTATAACCAACAAACATGTTTTATATCATCATTATTTCTAACTTCATAGAATGTAATATGTAGCACTCTTGTTTATTGAACTTTCCTTCGAATTCACTGTTCTAGACATTTCTGATTCCTAGAAAAAAGCAACACAATGTCGATTTATTTCATGAAACATGTTCATGAAATAAATCAAAACTTCCTTCTTTTATTTCAAAACATGCTTTTAACAAACATTAACATACAATTTTATCATTGGTCCTTTCAAATATATGTATACATTTTTTAAAGGCATCATACATTATATGTTTTTCAACCCAAGTTTTACCATGAAAATGACCAAAATATATTACAAATTTTCTTTTTTAAGAAATCTAAGAATAAGTTAAACATCGAAAAATTTATAATACATGAGAAAATAAATAGGCTACATAAAGTCTACTTTACCAGACTAAATTATAAAAACTGTTTTGATCCTGGTACATGTAAAAAAAATAACTATGGATTCAAAATATTTGCCTCTTACAAGGAAATGACAACTATACGTACAAATATATAATAAGCATTTTATCTGAACAAAAATTTTCCCAAGAAAGAACAAACAAAGATATTTTGAACAAACCAATCCTTGTTCATGTCTTTCTCTCTTCTTCATTTTTTCCTCCGATTTCCAATATTATGCCATACATGTTGCAGGTTGTCAGATGCAGATTAGTGTAGTTTGTTATCCACAGTCATGACTCCCAATTGAAATTGTCCCATTGTATGTCAAACGTGTCGCCGATTGGTGTAGTTTGTAATTCACAGTCATGACTGCGATGATTTGGCTGCATTCTTATTTTTGTTTTTCCATTTTGTTCCTTTTCTGCTCATGATTTTGTTGATGAACTGGAAAGAGAGGCAAATTCAAATATTACTATTTATAAAAACCGCTATTTCTTGTAGCATTTTGGTTATCCTCGAGATCTGTTTTACAATGACACAGAACAGTATTTCAATCAATCAGAGTTATGGCCGGTAAATGATTCAATTTTTCATTACATGGAGTTAGGGATTTTCTTGGCATGAGTATTTTTTTCACTGAAGGGTAATCTTTTTTGGTATGTTTGTTTTGTTTTGCCTTCTTCTTCCTGTTTTTCATTTTCCTCGTTCAGATTTTCATTTTATTTATATGTATTTTATGCATTTGAATGGTTGCTTTTTACTGGTTGAAAGAAAGAGCTTTTTATTGAAGATTATAAATGTTTTTCTTTCAATAATTTTTTTTTAATTTGAAAGACATGAAAAATTTTCCAAATGAGAAATCGTTTTATTACTATAGAAGACAGTGTTTCTTTGGTTTAAAAATATATTTGTAATCATATTACTTTCTTATTTTTAGCAGGCCGCAATTTCTTCCACGGGTCAACCTTCTATGCGCCCCCAGGGTTATTTGCGCCCTTTAGCCCCAATCAATTCAGCAAAGCCCCAAGTCGGAGCTCTGAAGAGCAGCAATAACACAAAAATGAGGTCAGATAATACCGAAATCCTTCTTAATTCATCTCAGCAACAACAGCAGCAATTACACCATCACCAACAAACCAACATGCATATGAATATCAACGGAAAATGTATTGTGTGTTCTAAGTTTGCCTTGTACCTTTGTTCTAATTGTCAACAGTTTTGGTACTGCTCCCCACAATGTCAGGTAAGTGGTTACCATGTTTTTATAGACATTAAAATCTGGTTATCTGTTTAAAACATAAAATATGAATGCCTTATTTACTAGTTGAAACACTGGGTAAACCACCAACATCACTGTAAGACTGCCTCCAAAGTTTCCTAGCATTCAGCATCGTCATAGAACAGCATCATCAGGAAGAACATGGCAACAGCGACACACTGTACTGTCACATCAGTTTTCCTTTTATATTTTATCAATTCTGGGTAAACCATCAAATTTCAGTCAAAGTATTTCTATGTTTATATTTATTGAATTTATGGAGAAAATCATCAATGTTTATGATTGTATCACCCCATAATTAGATTTTATTGGGGGGGAAAATGTGATAGGGGACCTTCAGTGTTTATTGGGTGGATATAGGTGAACGCATGATTGAGAATTACATTTATGCGCACTGGCATACAGGGATGGGGTAATTGAGATGAGTAATTGTAATTTACTGTATTTAAATACATTTTTCCAAAGTAATTGAAAGTATTTGTAATTGAGTTTGCTTTCAATTACAAGTAATTGAATGTATTTAAATCCATTCCAAAAATGTCATGTATTTTTCAATTACATTTCAAATGTTCAAGTTAAATATAAAAAAGGTGTTTAATTTGTAATGATGCATACCAGTACTATTTTACATGAGCTTGTTTTTATTCAATAATTAAATGCCTAATAATGTTTATACAGCAAAACACTCTGCCCAGGGCAATAGGAAAGGTCAAATTTAATGATATTGCTGCTTCAAAATATTCATGTATTTGATCTTCAAAATTTTTGGAAACAAAACTAATGTAATTGAAATGAATTTAATTACATTCTTCAAAGTAATTTAGAGTAATTAATTACATTTGTTAAAATCAATGCAATTTTAATTGCAAGTAATTGACAATATTATCAATGTATTTGAAAGTATTTAATTACATTTTCAAGTAATTGACCCCAACCCTCCTGGAATATGTATTATAAGTTCCTGTGAGTTGATTATTTATGTTAATACAGTTTTAGTTATTTATGCTTTGACATTTGCTCAATTACTGTATATAAATTTATAAATTTTAAAATCACTTTATATGTGCAGTCTATTTTTAATAAAATGCTCTTTGTTTCTTGTAATAAGCCATACTAATTGTGCGGCTTTTAAAACTGCCTATGTACTTGGTAAATAGTAGTTTTTTATATGCAGTTAGGCATTTTTTTAGAATATTAATCTCTGTTTGATGGGCATTATCGATATTGTGTTCTCTGTTTATCGTTTTTTGGAGCTTTCCTCAAAAGGCTTCTATCATATATATTACATCATGATGTTTTGTTTTACAATTCAAAAATCAATTTGATGATTTTATTTCTTTCTCTACGCACGGTTATAAATTTTCTCGATAATTAAAATCAGTATTGCAATAAGATTCATATGTTCAACAAATTGTATCTGCCTTAATTATTTCTTCAATAACATTGGTCATGATTGCAATAAAAAGCCCAATATGCTAGTTCTTTTTTAAATGCCATCATATGAGAATTGTTCGAATTATATTAAATATAATTTCTGTATATAGTCATATTCAGAGCAATTTTTCATGTATTTATTGCCATATGTTTATAAAGAGATTTCCTTATTCAAATGAACTGTTAATAGTTCCCTAAGTGCCATTTCTTTTGAAATCCCGTCGCCATGTCGACGTTAATAAATTTCCTTCAATGTTTCTTTAAAGATGCGTACATTACAAATCTTGCATTGTCCGCAGCGAATGAACATTAACTTGATTTATTGCATGATGGACAACGACTGTTTTGTAATAAAATATGTGATTTTTAATACTGAATAAATCTTTTGAACTAATAAAGTCTCTTTGTCATTGATTCAACGTGATGCATAGTTTTGCAAGCATCCTGTCAAAGCAAGGAATTTAACTGAAATTACTAAATGTAGCTCATCCGTTTTAAATTCTCGTGTGACACAGCCCATAGGAAATCCAGAAGTACAAGAAGATAATGTCAACCCTTGCTTTTGGCAAATTATTGCAACCATAGGGCATATACTTTAAGTGAATCAATATAATTTTTCTTCGTGTATCTTATTAAGGGGAAGAAGTACCTTGAGCTGAAATAATACTTGTCATTCAATTTTTTTCATATTTTGTATATTTCTAATTAAGTATGTCCCACATATCTTAAAGCAGTTATATCATTAGGTTTCTTACCTTACTTTTGAGATATTGATTGACAAATACTATGCCCTACAGTGGAGTTTTAATTCTCCATGTTCCGGGCTCATTAATCTTTCCATAGTGGGATTTTTTAACCATATATATACATATGTAAGTGGACATGTATCTTTGAAAATATTTCAGAGTAGAAATAGGGTTTAAAATTCGAAAAAGCAAGTTTCTTCTATCACACTGCATCTGGATAGGGAAAATTACGTATTTTTTAAGACAAACAACAAATAACGTAATTTACAAAAAAAATCCTATCATTCAATATTTTTAAATTTACGTTGAAATGCAAGTCCTTCAAATTATTGATTAACTGTAAAAATTTTGAATGGTGAAGCTGACCTCAATATTGCACAGGACATCGTTAAAGAGGACATACATGTAAGCATGACAAAAACGTGTCATGTTTACATTTTTCGAGTACGGGAAAAATCAACTATGACGTCACTTGTAAGCTAAAGAAGCGAAATAAGATATACCCACGTAAGATTTCCGTCATCAGCCATGCAAAAATAATTTTTGTGTTCCGCGTTTCTCAAAATATTTCATCATATACTGATTATGACCTGTTTTTTTTTTTACATAATAATACCGCCCATGTGTTCACTGAGTATGATCTTGCTGAACTAACAGATCATGTATGACGTCACCGACTTGTTGGACGCGCAGTTTAGGGAAACGGAGGAGTGGAACAATCTTTTTCATCATCTGTTAATGTTCACAAAAATGTTTTAAAAATTTTATTTTTTATATAAGTTGGTAATTAAAGTAAAACAAATTGTCAAAAATTTATACAAGAACTGATGCTTTACAAGTTTTGCACTCATATAAACGGGGACTATGGCGTAGTTAAACAGAGTCATGTGACCATGTGTCCTTCATCCCCTTAAACTGTTTATTCTAGAAATGTGGACGAAAGATCCTGTAGACCTCAGCTTTGAATGAGTTTCCTACACTTGTTTGCAAAAAAAATAATTCATTTGTTTTCATCTGTCCATCTTTTTTTTTGTTTCATAGGTTAACATAAATTGTAATTATAAACCTTTACAAAAATGATCAATGGAAATGATCAGAAAGATATCAAAATTTCGCAAATATCTTCTCCTTTGTGATAATGAATTCATGACAATGTAGTTCGAAAAATTTCTAAATTTACAATTTAAAAACTTCTAACTGGAACATATTGAAGTTTAAAACATCTATAGATTCAGTGATATGTGTGCATACATGTACATGTAATAAACAAAGGAAGAACTGGTATTTTACTTGACGTACATTATAATCAAATGACTGATACATTACTGAAAGACGGAGTCAAATATCATATCATTAATAGAAAAAACTCTAAAAATATCAGAGGTGGGTTCAGGTACCACGGAGGAGTAAGCATCCCTGTCTACCGGTCACACCCGCCGTGTGCTCCTTGTCATGATGGGTAACAAACGGTTACACAGTCTGATATTACACATCCGAGTAATTTTTTTTTTTACAGGTAATGGTTTTCAAAAGATCAACATTTTTAAAATGCTCAATAGTTATCTTTAAAGTTGGTAGAGAGATCTTCAAAATTACCTTTTTCTGTTTGGTTTTGCTTGTGTGTTTTTTGACCAAAGCAATTTCTGCATTCTTTTCTTTAGTATTGATTCAGTTGAGGTGTTAAGCGCTAGGCTTCCGTTTGAGACCTAGACTGACAGTAAATTACGGAATTAAAATTGTAAATTACTGAATTAAATTGTAAATTATCACGCTGGAGGCGTGGTTTCATCATTCACTTGACCCCATCTTAAATCAGAATAATAAATATTATGTATAAATTGTAAAATAAACATGCAAGGTGTCCAGTATACTACTTATGCACAAGAAAGTTTTTTTTTTAGACTTTTTAAAAAGGTTTTAATTGATGTGAACATATATCATTGTAATTCTACCGCCGTTGCTACATACCGATTCATAAAGATCGTTGGTTTTACTTTATACATAATTTTAGAACGTTTCAAACCTTAATCAGTCAAAATGATATAACATATAAATATTGCATGTACTTGAAGGGGAAATTGAAAATTTTCACCCCAAGAAAACCATTGTCAACCGAGGAGAAGTCGAGTTTTTTCTGCTTATTCTTTTGAAATATCACCCTGTTGACTTTTGCTACATTCTATAACGCTGGAGGCATTCTATCACGCTGGAGGCGTGGTTTCATCGTTCAATGGGTAAAAGTGTTTTCAAAAAATATTTCTCGACGAATCAGGTTCAACTAATTTACATGAAATTATAATATATAATTAGAACCTATCCCATACCATTTTAAAAGAGTCTCTGTCCTATTATTGTTGACACGTGTGTGTGAGGGTGTGTGTGTGTCCATTGTAAATACATACTACATATCTGTTCCTACTGTTTGTGTGTGCAACTGTCCTATATTCACTGCATGTTATGTTCAACTTCATGTATCCTATGCGTGTACGATACTCGTATACGTACTTTTTAAATGTTTTACTGATCCATTAAGGTCAAAAGATCTGCAGAGCTCATGGTATTGCCAGTGCAAATCGACTATAAATAAAAACTTATTCTGATCATTTTCACATTAATGCACGCATTTTGATTCTCTCTATGTCAGTGTATACGTCAAACATTTACTTCAGTAATTTAATGACTAGGATCTTCCCCTTACGTGAGGCAAACAGCTGTTATCCTACGTTTTCCCTAAATGATCACATTACATATTAAAATGTTATTTAAGTCTTTAAGCACTTGAAAAAAATTAAAACGTAGTTATAGATAAGAATATAGCCTGTTGATGATTTTAAAATTTTAAAAGATGGAATGACACACATGTAAATATAAGTTTTGAAAACGTATTAAAAACATAATAATAAGATTAAAGAAGCATTGGTCCTTTTATATTTCATTCCGTTTTAAGTAAATCAACTAAAAAATGCCTATACATATCCAATCCTAGAAGGTGTAATTTGCATGTATTTACATTTTGTTATTAATTTTTTTCTTTATTTTAAGCACATTTTATTGACAATTATAAAGACTTTTCCAAAGGTATAAAAGGTGACTGTGTGTTGTAGCCCGTTATATATTAACAAAGCCTTCTTTGATCCGTGAACGTTACGTCTTACGTCTACCAGTGTTTCCCTGACTTCCTTCCCCTTTTTAAATATTGTTTACCACACGATATAAAGAGGACAGTGAAATACTCATTGCAAAATAGGGGGTAATTCATGGAAATTTCATGCATCATCAGAAAGTTGGAGGTTGTCTTTTGTTGTCTTTTGATAAAAAATTAACGTTAAATTATATGTTATGTAACACTCAGTTAAATATTACATGTACATAAATATTGCATGTAGTTGAGTGTAACATTGAAAATTTTCACCCCAAGAAAACCATTGTCAACCGAGGCGCAATATTTATCATATTATACTTAATGTTTTATACAAAAACATGTAACAGTGAACCTTGTGCGCATAAATTCTGCGCAGTCACTATTTTTTGGAATATCACCCGTCGTCAAGCAATGTTGTCTGTTGCTACGCTGGGGGGCGTGGCTTCATCATTCAGCGGGTAATAGTGTTTTTTTAACAAATGTTTCTCGACGAATCAGATTCAACTTATTTACATGAAAGTATAATATCATTGATTGTCACTTACTTCTGTTCAGAGACTAATCAATAAATTTTGATACCATCCTATATCTTTTTCAACAGTACAAAAATATGGAGATTCTGATAGATTTACTTGACTATTAATGATTAACACCGTACTTAAGATATATGAATGTTTTAACACAATCGTGTTTGAGTACCAAAGTTTATCGCTAGACATTGATAGTTGTAACTATTCAAGGTGAGAACCTCTTAAGTTGTTAGAACTTGTGTTCGAACCTATTGTTTGATATATACACAATAAAATATGTCCAAAACAACTCATTAAATTATAAATAAATTATTTATACAAAATTTAAATAAATATTTGATAAAACAAATTCTCATTAATTTCTGGGAACACCATGTTTACTTTTATCTTTAATGGACCGTGTTTCCCGGTGTCTTTAATCAATAATTGACGAGAAGTTACACTTGTATTTGCGTGACAGCTGTGCAGCTGTTACACGACATTATGAATGATAACGATATATAATGCATTTTAATGTTTTAATTTCGAATTTCACGAATATATTTACACTAATATATGTTAACTTTTAGTTGATGAATTATTTTTCATTCATTTACATTAAGTAATTGATACGTTTTTAAATTTTAAGCTTCTCCGTTTTACACGTGAAATCTAATATCTTATTTTATCTTTGACAGTTTTTAAATCCACATACATATTAAATTAACAGTCATCTCATTTCCGTGATTAATTTGAATATATTGTAGAGAATTGTTTAAAGACTCTCCAAAGTCATATTCATCATTTCACTATTTAATTTTCTGCTTCACATTTTAAACATTGTATAGCAAAGTACCCCCATGACATTTTAAAATTCAATGATATATGTTTAAGATTATGAAAATATACAAATGTGCCATCACATTTAAAATTTCTAGCAAACATTCTGAAGTTGTACAACTGTTCGTTGTTAAAACCCAGAAAGTTGTAGCTGTTCAAGC